ACAGGCATTGTTAGTGTAACAAGAAGCATTGCAAAGAAAACTATGCAAGATACGCACAATAACAATTACACTGAACTTCTGATGTTTATTTATTTATTTACGTCAAAAACAGTTAAATACTGTGTGTGACGCGCTATGGAGAGAAGTTAATTTGAAGTTACATTTATATTCAGAAGCAAAACGATCTCAGCATTTGCTCAAGGATCAGGGAAACTGGACGTAAACCTGATCGAGATGGGGGTCATTCACACAAAAGCTGAAGTACAATACTTGTTACAGGTACTTTAGAATTATACAATCTAAATGGTATATAATACATTCAATGTCATTGTTAAAATTAATATTACTTTCCTTTTGGTTGCTCGGTATAATCTCTAATTGTATAGAAACAGTTGTGCAGCAGAAAAGATTTTACTTGGGACTTAAACTTTTGTATCGAATTTAATCGTTTAATGTCATCTGGCAAGGTGTTGCATAATAGTGTACATGTATTGTGCGTGAATTTTTTGTAGTGAGCTGTTGATACTGATGAATATGATTACTACGTCGAGTGATGTAGTTACAGGTAACGGCGTTTGCTGAAAATATATTCCTGCCTTAAGTAAGTAATTTTTGTCAAAAACACCTGATTCATATATTAAGAGACAAGGTAATGGTGAAATACCTAGATGATTAAAGAGAGGCTTAGAAGAATCACGTGGGTGGAATTTGCTACAATTCGTTTTTTTAATGTAAAAGTCTGGGAACAATAAGATGTATTTCCCCAGAATATTATGCCATATCTCAGGTGGTAATGAACATTCGCGAAATATACACGAGCAGTGTGTAGGCTGAGTGAATTTGAAAGAATTCTGAAAGCGATGCATAAAGAACTTAATTTAGTATTCAATTCATTTAAATGGACGTTCCATTTAAGATTTGGCTGCATTGAAAGACCTAAAAATTTTGTCACCTTAACATCAGTCAATGGCACACCGTTCATTTTCAGTGAAGTGCGGAGCTGTTTATTTGAAATGGAAAACTACATTGAAACAGTTTTCTTATCATTTACTATTAATTTGTTATTACGAAACCAATTTGAAATATCTGCTATTGTACTATTTACGGTTTCTCTATTGCACAGAATATTTGTATCATCCGCAAAGAGAACTGTTCTTCCGTTTCTAATCGTCGAGGGCATATTGTTTACGCACAGTAGAAAGAGAATAGGGCCTAAAATCGATCCCTGCTGGATCCACATGCAATTGGACAAAGAATCAGAAAGGTGAGTACATAATGTTTCATTATCCCAGTAAGGTATTTCTACACTCTGAGATCGTTGTTTAGGTACGAACATAACCAATCTAGAGCAACACCACGAATTCCATACGAAGGTAATTTTGAGAGTAAAATGTTATGATCAATGACGTTAAAGGCTTTTGATAGATCTAAAAATATTCCAATATGTGCTTCGTTTTGATCCATGGATGAGGCGACATCTTAAAGAAAAGAAAATATGGCTGTTTCCGTAGATTTTTATTTTCGAATCCCATGTTGGCAATCTGAAAACGCACCGTGTTTACTAAGAAATGTTTCCATTCGTACGTGAAAAAGTCTCTCTAAATATTTTTGAAAAAACTGACAAAAGAGAAATTGGTCGATAATTATGAATTTCATTTTTGTTTTTTTGAAACGCGACTTAATCTTAGCTGTTTTAAAAATATATGGAAAAATTCCTGTGCATAAGGATACATTATATATGTGAGTTAACGGGTGTATAATGGCGGGCGCGCAAGCCTTGATGCTACTAATCATAAAATATGAGACACAAAAAATGTTAAAGAAATCATGGAGAGACCAACCACTTCATGGACAACATCTAAAAAGAATGGACAAAGTACAGATCAATATAGATCAATCATTTATGTGGCTTAAAAGGGGAAGGATGAAGCCAGAATCGGAAGCAGTTCTATTAGCTGCCCAGTTTCAGGCGTTAAGAACACGACATTATGATTAAGCGATTCTCAAAATTTCTTAAGATGATAAATGTCGCATCTACCAGAAACAAGTAGAAACCATTGATCATATAGTCTCCGCTTGTCCAATTCTAGCAAAGACCGAAAATTGTGTAGATACCTCCACTGGCAGATCTGTACCGCCGACTCAACACCGAAAACATCATTCCCATTCAAGTACTGAGCGTTTTACCCTTCCAAGGTCGCAAGGAAGCGCAGTATTGTAATCTCTTAAATCTACCAGCTCTCAAATTGTTTCACTCAGAAGATACTTCTTGGAACACTGGGAGAGTTCAGCAAGCAGTGAGCGCAGTTGATAATAACTATAGTCCTCTTAACTTGAAAAGCTTGATCCGCCTGTTCAACCAATCATTGAAACGGAGAGAAGATAAACCTTATGGAAAGCGAAGGCACTGCATGGAGGTACCCTCACGAGCTGAGTAAACCAAAAGTCGACATCTCTGCGTCGCACGCATGGCTCCAGCACGGGATTCTCTTCCGAGGACAGGCCTTCCATGATAGCTATCCAGGACCAAGTGGTACCAACATTAACTACAGAAACACAGTTTCTGAGAAATTCTACCATTTATTCCGACTCGTGTAGAAGTTGAGGCTGCATGCAAGACTATCCAACACTGACAAGTGGATGTAGCACGCACAGTGGAAATACAAAAAGAGCATGATGAAGTGGCGAAGCAGCTCACCAATTATTGGCATTGAGAACGGCTTACTCGCCACTTCCGTGCCCGTATTATAAATATGTGCCTCAGAATGTTGCTTGAAAGTAGTAAGCACACACTCTACTGGGATCGCTCCATTATCACTGACAGCACGTCGCGGCAATAGACCCGATATAACGGACATTGATAGAAACCATCAGCAAGTTTTCTATCATATCATCAATACCCAATACCCACAACATATCGGAAAATATCAAGAAGATCCAGAAGTATACCGATCTCGCCCATGAAGTCGCAACTCAGTGGAAACTTCAGTAAAGTGACAACTGCGCCTATAATAATATCAGCTACAGAGTAATCCCGAAAATGACACTTCGGGCACTGGAGTGTCTTCACTTGGATGCCAGAATGTATATAATATCAAAAGTCCAGTAATTGAATACATGCCGTATTTCACAAGCCATCTGAACCTTCTCAGTAAAGCAACCACGCACCTTGTCATCATTCCTGTGTGTGGTTGACATACCCACAAGTAGATACTGTGAATAATGTAAGATATAATAATAATAATAATAATAATAATAATAATAATAATAATAATAATAATAATAATAATAATAGATTTATTACAATTAATGCAGTGAAAAATTAATAGTTGAATTATATTAAATTATGGTTCACTTAGTGTTGAAAGTTCCTCCACTCTGTAAAATATTACGAAAATTTTTGGGACTATGTTTATGAATATTCTGGATTTTTTTCAAACGATTATTAAAGTTTAATGTAGGTAATATTTCTCTCAATAATAATAACTAATACAAATTTCTAAAATAAGTATTTAAAAAGCCGATCGTTTATAAAAATATACGGAAGAAGTCACTTCTACACTAATAGCACAGGTGCTTGAAATTCATTGGTATTTTTCATAATCGGTGAAAGGTCATGTGGAACCTGATGTTTCATACAATTCATTTTATTTTAAAGCAGCACCTTAGTATCATCGCTAAGCGGATGATAATATTTACTTCGAACCTCTTTCAAAACGAAAAGGTAGCGACTCGACGTGTTAAAAAATTAGTGCTTTTTTAAACCCAATTTGTTGACGAAATTCGCAACCAGAACCTAAATAAACGGAAAGAAATCTAATATCGTTGTAAATAACAAATATAAGACACACACACCTCGGTACCTCATAATACAGCCAAAAACCTAGTAATTCTCTAGGAATTGCTTACGCGCACGGCAGAGGTAGCCAACCCAACTCTTTTCCGCCAAACGTGACCTCATTGTGAGCATCTCCATACGCAGAGAACTTCCAACGAAGAAAGATCTCGGAGTTCTCATGGTGGAAATACTCGTATTCATGATGATATTTCCATCTTGGGCGTACTAAAAGAAAATCGACACATAACGTATTTTATAACAATTAGCTCGTGGGATCCATTTCCCCAGCATCTGACTTGTGTTTCCTAAAAGCGACGGAGCTGCCTTCAGAAGCACTAAAAGTCCATTTTCCATTTTCAATGATATCCTCAATCTTTTAATGAATCCATTTTCCATGATATCCTCCATAATCATGTCAAAAATTGTAATGGATTTCCTTGCCTTACTACAATTATGATTTCAGAATCATTCGTTTTTAGTAAGCATCATTTCCATTATATATTTTTTTAATTGAACAGTTATAATCAGGTTTTCTTAATCTCTCTTCAGAGCTTCATATTTTTATTAAAGATGTATCCCTTTGCACAAAGCATCCTCCACCAAGTTATTGAAAACCTTTTTAATAGCTATTCATGCCAATCCCTATCCTACCACATGCTAGCATCATTTACTTTATATTTTATATTTTTCCTCTCCGCAACGAAGGATACAAGTTTGTTTCTTCACGTGTAATATTAACTCCTCTTTGTCGCTTCTTTCCCCTTTCCATTTTGAAACTCCTACACACACAAAGTACGACGCAATAAACAAACTTTTACACCGAATTAGCACACAGCTCACGCCGAAGTAAACTGCAGCACAATATAAAAACGAATGAAGCATAAAACGCCTGACACATTACCAAAATACATTCGAATTCGCGCGTACAGAGGAAGTTTGACAAGTGAAAGAGCAAACAGACAGATTATTTATCTGAAACATATCTGTAAGATATTTTAACCAGATAGGCCTTGATGAAATGCAAAATAAATATCAGGAACTTTTATTGGACGGATAATATATCTATCGGATTAGTATTCGGAACTTTATCAAGAACAGGTGAAACAGGCCCTAGACATACAATCCATATGATAAATCTTGACAAGCACGTAGAAAATAATCATGTGGCAACCTCGCCTTGACAACTCTTTGGAGTAATGAGATTTTCCAGCTGATGCTCCTGTTCGCGGCATTTTGACTGCCGCTTTCGAAAAAGGATGAGAGAGCGTTGCTAAGTGGTGAGGAGAAGTGCCTTGTGTTTGGGTTTAGATACGCTTGGCTATACTTGCGTTCCAATGCCATTACGGTATTGATTATCATATTTATTTGTGTGGGATCTTACGGTGATTGAGAGCACTATATTGAGGCGAATTTGCTGGTAAGTGGTTGCTGATTTTTTTCTGCTTTTTTTATACCTTTCCCCTTTGTTTTTTAATTTTCCCATTTAAATTGGTGATCATTTCTGAATAATTATTTTATTGTAATATTCTTTGTTCTCTTAGTGGCACAAATTCAGAGAAATGGCAGATTTAGATATAAAACATGAAGTAACAGAATTGACGAAGTCTCCCAGTAACTCGAAAGAAACACGGAAACTACAACACTGGAAGACCTCATATTGGAACAATTTTGGAAGTAACTCAGAGCATTCAGAAGGGACCCAAAGTTTTGCTCCTAAGTTAAATGTATTTCAACAAAGAATGGCAAAACGCGCAAGGAAAGTAGGTGGGTAATACAGGGGTCATTTTAATATTCCAACTGAAGAGAGAAATATTTTCTGTTTTTGTATCGAAAATTACATTTGTAAACATTAATGAGGCGATGTTTAATGGTGTGAGTTAGTGCTCAAGATGCAATTAATGAATTGATGAGAAGTTCTTTTCTCCAATTTCAGGTACATGGGATACAAAGCGAAAAAGAACACAAGATGATGACATTACTTTTCATGATAATAAAGTACACAGGTTAGTTTGGTTTTAAATCAGATTAATTATTTATTCCCAATTGCTGACTCCATAGTTTAGAGTTTTTAGGAAACTTGAACTGCATTGGATTCAATGTCATAAATACTTCTGAATTTGCGTGCGCACATATTGTTGTATTCTTTGTTATTAAAATATTTGATAACTTCATGTTACTATGGATACTGCTTGAAAATTTAAGATATCATTCTTGCCTTTGCAGTCTGTAAAATTTGACTCCATTGTGAAAGAAAAAGGGTAATATTTTTGAAGTTCTGTTGTGTCTACTTTTACTTAATTTGTATATTAATAAAGGTGTGTTTCTAAAATTCAGTGTATTTCACACAGAACTTGCACTTTACAGTGGAAACACGTGTTGCATTTCAAGTAAATTTTGTGTTATTGAAAATAATGTCCCAAACCTTTCAAATGTTGTGAGGAGATTGTTAAAGTGTGAATTTTTGAAAGCATAATAATTGTGAGAAATGGATAGTGATAAACTTATTGTGTTCATTTTTGAATCTGATATGTATAATAATTTTTGTTTTTCTTCATTGAGAAATTCTGAAGGTCAGATGTTCTGTGATTATTGTAATGGTAGTTATCGTTGTTAGTGTTGATAATTAGTAATAATTAAAGAGTTGAGCTAATATTATGTTTGTGTATGTGTCACAGAGATTCATCTTGGGGCAGTAATCATCGTGATGGTAGTTTCAATGAGTCTCCACGTTCGCCTCAAAATTTTAAATCCAAAAGGAGACTTGTGATTGAAACGGATCCGTCTATTCTAGCTAGGCGTCAAAAACAAATTGACTATGGGAAAAATACAATTTGCTATGATGAATATCGACGTTGTGTTCCCAAGTAAGTTACCAATATTTTATCTAAATGATTGTGAATTTTTTTAATCATACTAGCGAGGGAAGGGTGGAGTGAAAGTTCTTGGATTATGCAAACAAGTTTTGACTTGCATCCATTCAATCGTTATTGACAAACCATTTGTGTGTAATGAGTATCATTATTTCTCATTCTAAATTACAGTAAACCCCCTAACTTACATTTCTCAGCCCTCTGGTTTCTTTAGATGAGCAGCACAATGATCAATGAAGAGGACTATTTTGTGATTTCTGGCCCCCCATCTGCCTATCTCATTGTAAGAGAAAGTCTTTAAAAATTCTTCCAGTCCAGTTTTTAAAACATTGATCATTCTGAAACTTACTGATAACAAAAGGGAATTTTTTTGCTTCTGCTGGCATTAAATGTCAGTAGCATGGTGATTCTTTGTTTTCATTTAGAGCCTCCATGACATGGGTCCTATTTCAAAGCCAGTGTTTTGTTTGCCTGAGGATTGAAAAACAAACCAGTTTTGTCTGCATTGAAAATATTTATTTTGTAGCCCTCAGTTATCTGATGAATCTGCTCTTTCCAGTCCAAAACTGGCTGGATTCATATTGCACATTCTCCAGAGACAGTTTTGTAAATTAGATTCTGATGCCTTTTGAAGTGATTCAGCTAGCCATCGGACACTTGAAGTCTTCAAGTCCCAGATGTGTTGCTTTTCTTTTAGATGAGATTCATCAATTGTTAAATTAGATGTTCTTGCTTGCTGAAACCAACTTGAGAGAGATTTTCACAGCAAGGCCTACTTGCTTCTCAATTTGAGCATCAACTTCTTCTAAAATGTGAATTTTCTCATTAAGAGACCTGACAAGACAGATACAAAATGTTTTAATGTTCAATATACATGCTAAGTAGTAGTTATCTTGATAGTGAGTTTTATATAATGTAGAGGTCTATTTTGCCCATATTTCTGTAATTTATATAATGATGTTCTTTTAATTGTTAATGATAATAGGGTCATTTTATGATGTTTAGGAATATAGTATGAGCATGTGCGTGCGCGTGTGTGCACACACACCAATGCTAGACAATGAAAGCCTTGCATCTCCATAGGTAACCCAGTGGAGTAATGAGCTTTTCATTGCCACCAATCAACCACCATTAATAATTAACTGTTCTTGTAATCATTAACTGCACATGACAACTTGATCAAGCAAACTTATTTTAATAGTAAGTAGTATATGTATCTGCTAAAGCTAAGGCAAAAGTGTGAAACGAAACATCATGAAAAGCATCACTTGTTGAAATGGCAGTATATTTCCAAATACTGATCATGATGTGCCAAAGTGAACTGGTCTCCTGTCATTCAAAACATTTTTGTATCTTGAAAACAACCTTTTTACCTCGCATGAACACATAGGCACATATTTCATAGAAGAAAGTTCCATGGTTAGTTCCATGGTTTCAAAATTAGATGTCTCCCTTGTACCTTCTCATATCAAACTCACATTAACCATAGTCGTCCAACCTGGGTAGCATTGCAGTAGTTCAAAATTTGGTTGCTACTTCTTTACCGATGTTACCTGGGGCTTGATTTAAATCAGTTTGAAGATTTTGAATTGTAGTTACTGCATCCACAAGAGGCACACCTCTCTTCCGGTTTTGTGAACCCTTTAAAGCCAAGTACATTTCTGAAACACCATGTACTAATTTTGCTTTATAGGATCTTGGTGAATGTAATTTTTTTTCTTTACGTTTTTTCCTGCAATCTACAAACATCACTAAAGTTTGTTGATTTGATACTACTGGTTTTGGCCAGTATATTACTTGTTTTGGATGACCGCAAAAAGTTGAGAGTATGAAAATACGAGATCTCAATAGCAGTATTGAAAGGAAAGTGCTTTTATTTAATCAATAATTATAATTAACAGCTAATATGTAATAAGATAACTTCAATATTATATAAGTAACCAACTATGAATAAATTATTTGGGTTTTGAAAATTTTTGGTTAATTTATGAAACGATATGGACTCTGAATACAGATTCCGCGTGACCATGGTCTGTGAGCGGAAACAAGCTTTGAGAAGGATCAATAAGTTTCTTTTAATCAAAAATTTAATCGAATACATAAAGGGTGTAGAGCCAGGGTGAGAAGGTCATACGTGAAAGCAAAATGACGTTTTGGAGAGCGTATTTATCTTCTCTTTCTTGATGTACGCCTTCTAAAGAATTATTCTACCTGATGAATCGATGAGCTTCTCTCCAGAACGTACTGTAAATTGTGGTGTTCCTCAGGACGTAAAACATATATTAAGGATGAACACAATTCTTTTTTTATTTTATTATTATTATTACAATTCTCTTAAAAAAAAAAATTGGATATCTTAGATTGCAAAAACATTGCAGAGTTCATTGGACATTGTTCAACATTGAACATTTCCTGAGAGTCAACTCCTGGGGAAATTTATATTTTGTAAATTTTGTGAAGAAATGGTTGAACTAAAAGTTGGATTTCCCGTTTGTTGTCTGATTTCCAAGTTTTAAAATAGGAAAGTTCGCGGCAGTCAGTGTATGGCCCAAGTCAATTTTTCTTATCTTCAATCTGTGATTACACTTGCTGCAGAAAGGGTTGAATATTTTTTTCTCGATTTTCCTGAGTTTTTTTGTATAAGTTGCATTGTTCTATTTTGAAAAGTATGTTTTCTTACCACTTATTCACAACACTGACAAAATTTCAGTCCATCATGAAATCATTTTCTCCATGAATCTACTCTTTTAGCATAGCAGTTTATGATACTATTGGAATTCTAGCAAGCGTGCTTAACGGGAACAGAATTATAGAAGCTATTGTATTGGTTTTATCATTGAGGAGGATATCAGGCCTGCTGTAATCCATTGTTTTGTCAGTGATAACAAAATGGTCTAGTACATCTTATGGTTCTTGGTTTTCAATACAGGGGCTGGACAATATTCATAATATGGCGTAAAAGAGTTATGCAACCCACGATTTAACAGCAAGTTCTTGATGCATCAATTTTTTGATTTGATTGTGCCTTCCAAGATATGCATTGTCTGATAATGACGAGCAGCCCGCCACAATATGTTCAATTTTTTTGCCTTATAATTCATATTTTCTGCATTTGTTTATCATATTCATCTTCAAAACTTTTTTCGTAGTTTTGCTGCTGCTTTTTTTAAATTTATTTATTATTATCATTATTATTATTATTATTATTATTATGTGTATAATAGTTTTCACTTCTAAAATTTATTAGTTGTCTAGTGAATATAGCATGGCAAGTGACTTTTTTAAAACACAATTAAAACTATTAGTTTTCATTAATTACCTCTAAACAAAATGATAAAATTTGCTATATTTGTTGCAGAAATACAAAAATCGCAAAACCAAAATACAATAGTAACATTATCTGTTAACCTTTTTGAACCAATCATTTATAGACAATTTATTCTTTGATTTTATCAGTTGTTATAAAATTATAATTAATTATTATTCATTAACTAAAATGTAAGTCATATTATAATAGTAAAAATAAAATATAATATATTTAATTATTAATAACAGTTAGTATAAAGTGGGTAGCAAGGAAATTCAAGAATAAATTGTCTGTAAATAATTCGTTAAAAAAGGTTAAGTATTGAACACTGACAAACCAGTTTGGAGTTAAATTTTATGTTGACAGATAGTTTCACAATTAATGTGCACATGGAAAGAAGGAATGAAGAATCTTTTATTACAGGGATAAAAGACAACGTAGTGATCCTAGTACTCCTCCAAAGAATATTCAATTCAGTAGAAGAGCATGGGATGGACTGATAAAGGTCTGGCGCCAGAAGCTCCACAGCTGGGACCCACCTCAAAATGAGAGCATGTGAGTGTAAGATCTCTACGAACAAATTTTTCACATAATTTATTTGTAATATTGTTGTCTTAAGAGTCTTGAAAAATTATTTGTAAGATATAATTAGAGAATGGTTATGAAAATAGTTCGTAATTTGCTCAGATAATTGAAACTGGCCAAACACCATACGAGTTTTGTTAATGTTTTGTTTTCATTTAATGAAAGTGTCCATGTCGTGGCGCAGAGGCCTCCAACATATAGCAAGGTATCTCAATAAACAAATCCAAAATTTTATAAATTCTTCATACATAAAATCTTGTTAGAAATTTCTGCACTGAATTTTTGTTGATAATTTTTAGGTGGTTTGTGAGTCAATTGCACAACATAAAACAATTGAAGTCTTCCAAATGAAACAAATTGGATTTTTTCTTTTTCCCTCTTCTTTCTCTCTCCCCCCATCGAGGTGGGTCGGAACATGTCCTGACAGAGGGATTGAGAGAATGCTCTCATGTGTTTCTTATTCCATCTTTCATCCTCCTGCTTTTAATTTCATGTCACATTCTTTTATCACCCGTTTTTCTTTCTCACTGGCCTTCTCTTTATGCTGAAAGCCCACCTTTGTGTTTGACGTGTATAGCGACCTGTCTCAAAGGGTGACCTGGGAGTTGATGGGTCTGTGTATGTATTCCTCAATGTCACATTGATGTTCATTCCTTGTAGGTAGACCCATTCTAGCTGAGTTCACTGTGTGAACACCGGTGAGCCCTGGGAATATCTCTGCATCTTGTAGATTCCAACTCTCTTTCTTGGGCCTTTGCATCGTCTAGGTGAGTGGTCGGAAGCTAACCCACACCCAATCAATCGGCTTGGACTAGGTCCTATAATGAACTCTAGGGTGAGAGGGGGTGGATCCATGTCGGGGCAGCCTTGTGACGTCGCCCCACTATATATCCGTGACAGCCCTGGCACCCTGGCGTTATGTCCTGTGTTGGACTCCATGATGAGTGGAAAGCACGGAGATGAATTACTATCCATCATATCAATACTAAATCACCCCCTGCTCTCTTCCGCATGGGAGAGATGTGCAGAAAGAAGTATTGATTTGAATAGCATCTTTTTAAAGGATGAAGACAGATCGAAGAACCCTGGTTTCCTCGTGGCATGCGACGAGGAAGGTAAATCTTTCAATCATTCTGTTCCTTTAGTGTGTGTTATTCAGAAAGTTAATGGGAAACTTCAAGCCATGGTGTTACAAAGAAATGAAACCATTCTTTTTGACGCATGCTATGATGACCTAATCATAAGGATTCGGAAAACCGAGCAGATTGCCAGCAGGTGACCACCCACCCAACTCTTATTATCTGCACGGCAGTAGTCAATCACGAGGATTTTACTGCAGTGTGAGGAAGAATTAGTCATGTTCTTTAAGAGCCAAGGTGTGACGAGAATCAAGAGGAAGGTGCATGGGCGAGAAAACCCCACTTTAATCTGATTCTGACATTCGATCTTCCATCTCCCTCTGAAAGAATCTCCCGGGGCGTCTATAACCTCCATGTGTGGCAATATGTGCATAATCCTTTGCGCAGTTTTTAGTGCCAGAGGTCCAGCAGTTTCAGTGCCTGAGCTAGGTCCCCCCTCCCATTCACTGATCACTGCCATCAAGCTCTTGGTTCGTTTCTCTGACAAGCTATGTATGCAAAGTGCTGGAACGCATGGTGAATGGGTGTTTGGTCTGGACCTTGGAGTGTAAAAATCTGTTGGCTTCAATTCAAAGTGGGTTTAGAAGTATCCAGTCAACCTTAGGGCACCTCACGTTAGCAACAGCACTCTCTACATCGTTCGTCTTGACACAAAATCTTGTGGCCTTATTATTTGACCTAGAAAAGGCCTACAACACCACTTGGAAGTATGGCATTCAGCAAACCATGCACTCCTGGGGATTTAAGAGGATTCTCTCTCTATACCTCCAAAGATTCCTTTCTAACAGATTTTTCCGTGTTCACGTAATGATAAGATTTCTACCAGACACCCTCTAGAAAATTGAAATGTATGTTTGGTATTCATCAAAGATCGGTTTTGAGTGTCTCTGTTGGCCATTGTCATAAATGGTATTGTGTAGACTGTATGAGAACCTGTAAAGGCATCGTTGTTTGTGGATGATTCCTCTAACACATGAAATCCGAATCCATGGCTTTTTGGGTACTTGATACCCAAAAATAGATTGACTGCAAAATGTCTGTTCATTCTTCTGTCTGAGGTCAACTCTAGAGCTTAAACCGTACTGCCGGTTTTCTCTGAAATTGATATTCCTCGATCGATTTCACTCGAGGCCCTCTCAGTTTCTAACAGACAGTTTAATTTTGAAAAGTTCTTTATAAAGAGCGTCAGCATTTTCAAAATTTTCTCAAAAATGCCTCCAACATTTTTATTAACCTTAGGGCTCGGATAGCATACGGAACACTCACGTGAATGGTACAGGTGACATCAACAAAAAAGATGCAACTATAATATTGTAGGGTTTTTCTTAATGAAAATTATTCATTGAAAACAAGTCTTAAAATATGGTCATGTAGAGCAATTTATAAAAAATAACTGGCTTTCGCATAATTTTGTGTGAAATATAGGCACTTTTACATTTTTTAAACAATGTTTGTTCTCACAAAGGTTGCATTTTTCTGTAAGTTTTCTCCTTGTATGTATCAAAGGACAGTAGAAAATGGCCCTAGTCCAATTACCGGTGAACTGTATTTTTGAAAATTATACCATCTTAACATTTTGAAACTACAAAATTGAAGTTAGAGATTCATGCCTTAAACATAATCGGTATTACTAATAATCATGGTGTAAATTGTATTCTGTATTTAATCCTAGAAGTGCAGGAGAATTGCGAAAATGCCTATCAATAAATATGGAATAACTTGAGCACGAAATAAGAGAGGTGTAGTTTCTATGACAACCACTAAACCCCGGAGAGACATAGTTTAAGCGTGGAATAACCTAGAAATGCGAAAACACAGAGGCAAATAAGAACGAACCGGTGCGTTTTACTTCGTTGTATCATTGTCGCTTTCAATTCAACTGTACTTCTTTTCTTGTGTGTTCTCGAATATTTGGCAACCTAGTTCATTTTGTGAGTCATTAATTTTTTTCATGTTTTCTTGGATTTTTGGCATTGGAAACTTCCCAAGTGATTTTTGTTGGTGTTTCTAACTTAGAAGGGTAATCTTTTAGAAGTGTATACAGCTGAATTTTGAAATAAAAACGGGTTTTCATGGGAAGCAATGCAGGAGTTAACGAAGTATATTGAAGGATGTCATTAGCAGTAAGCAACCATATCCCTAATAGGCCCAAAGTGTTTGATGTCTATTATAATTATTTTTAATCATTAAATGTGCATACATAAAATACCTAATAAAAAATTAAGGATATGAATTATTTTATTTTAATAAAGTAAATAGTGTTAGCCATGAACAATTAAATAAATAAAATGACCTGACACACCATTCTCATATTTTCAATTATTTAACATTAAAACAAAGACTGAAGATGAGAAATTTCATGGCAGATTTTTGGTGGAATCTACTTCTACCTCTGTGAATAATTTATCTGCTCCCATGAAAAATATGAAAAACAAGAAGGAAATACTGATTAGAGAGGTTTGTTATATTGAAAATCTGGTTTCAATGCTCAGGACAGAATTTTATGTGGAGGAAGAAGTGAACGACCACTTATACTACGAATAGTAGCAGATGTTCCATGGGGAGCACAGGTCGGAGAAAACTTAGAGAAAACAATTAAAATAAAATTTATGATACATAATGGACTTCACATTTTATGAATGTACTAATTTCAAATAAAAGTTACACTTGTATATGTGTGTGATAAGATTTTTCATTTTATAAATATGCTCCAGTGTTGCAGCTATTGAACATTTAAATCTTTTGGTAATAAATTCTTCTTTATGCTCAAGAATACAGAACATTTATTTGCATTGAGTGTTCTGAGAAAACTTTCTATTTTAAAATTAATTTCCCTACTGCTAGTTTCTTACACGTTTCAAATCTGAATTTACTAGATTTTATACAAAACATACGAGAACTAAGAAAGAATTTAGTGATATTTTTTTTATATTAAGTTTCTGAGGGTAAGGGTTCAGATAATGAATAAATAAAAAAATAGATATTCTTGAGATTAGAAATCTTCTAATACGGGTCAGAGACTAATTTCATTCACTCACTATTATTTACACACATTTTCAATTAGTTGTATGTCAACAAAAATGAAAAAAGCTTCTTTTTTTTTGTGAGCAAGGAAAAATTCAACTCTTGGGCTTGCTTTGAACAATTGAACTTTAAATAATTCATATAATTGGAATTAAATAAAATGGTAATAAATTCAATATAAATTAGTTCACAAACGGTATCATTGTCCAATTGTATAGAAAAAAATAACAACATTCTATCCTTATATCAGAGTTAAGAGTTCGTAACGATATGAGTAAATTGAAGTTGCAGTTTTAATTAGTAATAAAGTTGAATGGAAGATTTCTTCTTCTCTAATAATTATTATTCAACAAATAGGTTAGGATACACTTATTCATTTTTTTATTATGTTTATTTTGTATCTATTCCATCGTAACATTTTCCATGTATTTTAACTTTGTTTACATTAATTATATATGGCTTGATGCCAGCATATAATCTGAAGGTAAATAATATTACCCACAATTTAAAAGAATACCTGATTAACTATATTTGAATAAATACCATTCTGTTTAATAGGAAGTGAATTGAAAAGAAGGAAATTATTTAAATTAAGGAGGATGGGAAATGTTCTTAAGGAATCACTAACGTATTTGAGGATTTGGAAATAATTTTGTCCTAAAGCAAAATTTTTAGATGCATATGAAATGAATAAAGATTTTCATCCAAATTTTTAAAATTTTCAGTGTTTCTCAGATAAAAATAAAAAATGTTTATAAATGCATTTCTGAAAGGTTGATATTCAAGGGTTTCACCAAATTCACATCTATTTCTTATGATATTTGTTAGATTTCATTTTTAAACTGAGCTCTTTCTGCAATCATTTATCTGCCCTTAACCTTGTGCTTTTGGCAAGTAATTAATTTTTTTTTTTTTTTTTTATGTACACCAGCATTCAAAACCATTGTACTTCGAAAACAATTTGTTCATCAATATGAGTCCACTATCTACTAATGTAATCACACAATTCAGGGGAAAATGCGAAATATTCTGTTGAAATGTATCGCGAAGTTCCAGCTAAGTCTTTACAGGGGTACCAAAAAATAAGCCAACAATGGTGTATGAAGCAAGGTTGATTTCGAATTTAACAAGGACTAGTTAAGCTACGGTCTAGCGGTCATTATTGGTAAAAATTTAATCCATTCGTACTCCGAACTTACACTGGAAGTAACTATTCCTGGGATAAGCGTGTTAAAACGAAGTTACTCCAAGCTTTTATTAGTACAGCTGAATCTGTTCTAAAAAAATCAGTTCTTTAAAAATTGTAATTTATAATTGTTCAAAAAAAACTAATTAAAAATTTGTGCTTAAAATGTATGCTCTTTATAGGATAACCTTTTTTAAAAACCATCCCATTTTTTTCACAAATAGAACAAGAAAAGCTTCAGAGAAAGATTTCATTTTCATTGTCTCTGAATGTTTGAAAATTGTAAATTTAGAAGGAAAATGTGAGAAAGCATGCACTGTTCTAGAACCTAGTTTTTCATATTTTTGATTATTCACTCCCGTATAGTTGAATTGAAGTAAGACTTTAAGAATATAGACGGATGAACCTCCTTTTTATACGCAAATTTTCATTGAAACATTTGTAAACGTTTTTGAAAACACGTTATTCAAGTACAATTTTTGAATACACGTTGTACCATTTTTAGTTCGTTTTCACATGAAAGAGAAACTGCGTTTGAAATTATGTGAAGTGCTTGCACTCACAAATGCAGTAATGTATAAAAAATTTACATTTGTTGAAGACAATTTTTTGAAAAAACACAATGCATCTGAAATACAGTTTGTCATTTTATTCAGTAAATTCAGCGATGTATATGCAGAATGTTTAAAGAACAAAAATAGCAGTTTTGAGAAAATCTTTGTAATCTTTGTTAATATTGCTCATATTTCAATTAAGAAGACGCAAAAACTACTAATATTGTCAGAAAGGTTTTCATGATATTTTATAATGAACTACTTGTGAAGAACTAATTTCATCTGAAGAAAAAAATGTCTTCAACTAAATCACTCACAATTTTTAAAGAATTATTTTCAAGTTGCAGGGAAGCAATTTGGGCCAGATCTATAGTGGAAAGTTGTTTTATTTTTTAAAAAATTTTTTAAAGTAGATACTCGTTGACTTAACTAGTATGTTAATTGGAAGGAGATTCAACTCCATTAGTGCATTCTGGATATTAATATCGTTAACAGATATAGCAGCATTCGGATTAGTTCGAAGTACTGTTTTAGAATGTTTTCAAGGTTTTGGAAGGAATATTCATTTAGTTTGCACAGGTCCATCTGTGATGGGATAAAAGGTAAATTATATTGAGGGGGTGTAATGGATTACTGCACATGTGAGGAGGCTGGCAATAAATGGTATTTTTCTGTGAATGGGTTGGATTCTTTAAGTTGGGGAATTTTCTGAGCTGAAAAAATGTATTGTTTGAGTGGGGGGAGGAGGGGAAGAAATTCTGTGTCACCGGGGGCTTTTTGGTGGTTTGTAAATGGTGGGAATCTTTCTTTTTCTGTTTTGTTTATTTATATAATTTTTAATATACTTCACAACCCTTGTAATTGGCTGGGTGGTTTCATGAGCTCAGCGCCCAACTATTCGGCTGTGATTTATCTTTTCGACATTAATTTGTTAAAAATTCTAAGCCGCATTTTATGTATCTACGCGTTGCGTCACAGTAGGTTCTCGTACAACTGTATTTTTGGCACCGATGGCATTGAACTGCTGTTTCCTTTTTATATGGTGGTTCAAATCTGATGATTGCATTCAAAATTTGTCAGTTTTGAAAATTTCTTTGTGGTTTGGAACCGCATGTTCTAAATCTTTAAAAAAAGAACTTCAAGGAAGATGATACCAAGCGTTCAGTGTACCCAGAAGGGATTAAAGACGCGTTAGGAAGGTGCAATTTTTTTTTTTTTTTAATGTATTGATCCTAACAATAGTAATTATTAGTGTAAATGATATTTTTAATTTTGCTTTTCCAAGACACAAGATGCATTTAAAGAACACGATAAATTAAACAAATTTGGGATGTTATGACTATTATAAGGTAGTGGCTTCGTTGTTGAAATGACTGATTCTTTCATGTGCTCGGAGGTTTTGTGCATTCCCATAAGATGACCTTGGCATTTACGTGTTATGGGAACATTTGTAAGAACTTGTTTCCATGATGTTGACTCGATAAGCAATGGCCCCAAACAATTGACCTGCATTCTGAAGGTAGTTTCAAATAGCATTGTGGTGTTAGGGTTGAATGGAAAAAGAGTACACTTAGCATTTGCAAAACAGCTTGAAGAGAGATCTTGTGTGGGAACTGCAAAAGAACTGACTCCCAAAAGATTGAAGTTTTCATGATATGTTAATTTGTTTTAAACCTTTATATATCTCAGAAACGAAAGGTGATAGCACCAATCGCATTGCAAAATTTTGAATCTTGTTTAAAGGCTGTTTAGAAAACACTAAACAATTTGCAAAATTATAAACAATTTCCACGTTTTGCAATTCTGAAGTGAGAAGGATTCCCTGATGTCCCAGAACCTAAAACATTGAGTTAACAATTTTCTGACAGTTTACAATTTTATAAACAAATCCAAAATATGTGCTAAAACTGCCGGGAAGGCTCCACAAATTGTGCCCAAGATGAACATTTTAAAACACTAGTTTGGCAGGAGTTACAAATTGATTGCTAAAAGTTGGTATAATTGATGCAAAATATTTTTCTGGTTTTGAGTAATTTTGGAAATATGACGATATTTCCGCCTCTTACGTAAACGAACTAAACGCTGCCCTTGAGACAGCGCCCTTTCTACCCCTTGGGATTTTGCACCAATCACAGACTACTGCTGTTCTACCGCCTAGAGATTGATCAATACACCCCTTCCCCAGATTAAAGGGAACGGTGGGAAGATAAAATTTCACCGGCAAATTTTTCTGAGGGTGACGGTGAATTTTATTTACTTATTTTGTGAATATACCCTAGTTTCCCACAATTTTCATTCAAATCATGACAACAGTTTAAAAATAACGTAAACAAGGATTTCTCAAAAGCTGCTCCAGTGTTTTTATGCGAATAGAGCTTAATAATATGGTAATTTCAGACGATTTTCATTTATACGTCTGAAATTTCGCTGCAATAGTTGAACTTCTTTTTTGATGCAGGCAAACACTTGGTGGTAAAGAGGATAAGATGGCTGCTCTCAAAGCCGTAAGTTCTAATCCCGGTCCAGGCGAATATTTTTGCTCATTGAAAGCACTGTTATTTTCACCTATTACTATAATATTACCATTAACACGAGATAGTATGTAATCTTGTCGTACCTCTAGTTTTACTTTATATTTATTTTATTTTAATTTTTAGGTCTCCAGACTCGAGAGCTTTACCAAAAGGAATAAAAAATGGTGCTGGGGTTGAAGAGACAGCTGGTAGTTTAGTGGAGTAAGCATATCTATTCCATACATTATTTTCTTTATGTGATTTTATTTTTTTCTCCATGTAATATACTGGAAATATTTGGGGTGCCTATGTACCAAAGTTTGAACCCCAACTTTTGCAGATTTTTGCAGGTTCAAATAGCATATGTTATGTAACCATTATAAATAATACAAGAATGTGTATGGTACTAGCATCACTGGTTTTAATTCATATTTATTTTAATTTTATTGTTTTAGGACTCAAAACTTGAAAAATTTACGCAACAGAATCAAATTAGACGATGGTATTGAGGATGGAGAGATGGACGGAATTTCAGAAGATGAATTGTGTATTGAGATAGGAGACTGAAAATATTTTTCTATCATCAGATGTCAATTCAAAGCATTTTGAAGTTATAAAAATAAAATATTTCAGACAACAAATAATCCATTATTTTATATGTATATTAAGGTCATATTTTAAAGTAAATTTAATATTTTAAACTGAATTTTGTCCATTATCGTTTGCGGTTGAAAAACAATGTAATTGTTATTTAAACAAATAAAAAATCTTTGCTATTGTTTTTGTGATAGAAAATTATATTTTATTTGTACCTACTATATATTTTCTTATTATTTGCAGTTACATTATCTACACACTTGTACTGGTAAGTTAGACATTAGCAGATTTCATTTTCAAATGCTCCCAATTGGTTTGTCTGAAATAGTCCAGTTATAACGGTTAAAGCGTCAAAGCCAGTGTCAGAATCTCTTTTTAATTTTTCGACTCTTGCGAGTCATTCCAAGGAAGCTTTGAAGGTGGTATTGTGGCGTTGTGGTAGCAAAATGAAGATGCAGCCATGAGCTCTATTTACAATCTATTTATTTACAAGATTTGTACAACTATGTACAGCTGTGGGGTTATAATTGCTATTTACCTCGGTTACTTCCATGCTAACTGCTCCCCATGCCTGCCTTGCTGGTGCATCCTCCACCCAGACACTTTACCTCCCAGTGCAATGCACTTGCAGTGTCACAATGAGTATAGGTCCGCCTCTCAGGCTAGCAGTTGCGACTGCGCTCAAGGCACTCTAAAAGGAAAGTCCTTTTGCTACTGGCATTTCTGCTTACTTATTTTTGGCAGACATGTGATTACCACAGCCTCCCTGAGGGGTGAGGTTGTCTGCTTGGCCAACATATGCCTGACCCCAGGGGATCACACTCTCCTGCTCTGTGTCCTGGGAGTCCCTGCTCCCCCTCAGCTAGCCCTGTTTTTGCACTGCCCTTTGTTCCCACCAGCATTCTAACACCCGCTAGCACGTTTGGAAGCCTGGCTGCACTACACAGTGACTATTACTGATACATTACCTTCTGCCAGAAAGGTTGGCTAACCATCAGGTGTTGCCACAAGGACACTATGGTTGCCTCTGGCTTGTAGGAATCAATAAACATTAGCTGAACTGAGGACCTCGAAACATTTCACAGCTGTTGGTTAATTGCATTAGTAATACACCAGTGCTGGCGCTAGGCATGGGCAGTCTGGGCCCGATGATAGGACTGAGGGGGAAAATTATTATAAGTTTCAAAAGAAATTAGAGCTCAAGAAAAATTGTTATTGTAATTTTTTAAATTCAGGGTACAGTAGTCTGATATTTCAAAAACATTTCAATTAATTTTTTACCTTATTTAATTATAGTCATTACTTCTATGGTAGGATTCTATAAAATAAATAAAGTGACGCTAACATTAAAATGGGTTCTACTGAAATTCATATTTTTCATGGGTTTAACAACACGTGATTTAATTAAGCACTAACTAAACAATTTTTTTAGTGTTTCAAGATCACCGTGGATTTATTTGATCTATAAATACTTTTACTTAAGACTATTAATTAAAATATATTTCCAAAACCTTTTCCTAGCTTAAACACGACTTTGGTTATTTGTTGAAATAAAATTACTTGTCTAGTTTCTTGATACTACTTTCACAATTTTAATTGGGAGGGAGGGCTATGTTTCAGCAGTCACCCAGGCCCTAAATTGTCAAGTTCCAGCACTGTAATTCACAATTACTAGAGCTGGAAAGTTCATGCAGTTGCAAGTTTTTGTTAATCATATGTTCCTGAAAGTTCTAATATGTTTCATGGCAAAAATAGAAAATAAAATAAACGTTTTGCATATTTAAAGCTTTTTGGCATACAAATGAAGGTTCCTGCACGTTTTTCAAATTCGTGCCTAAAATAACATTAAAATATTAATTTTCACATAAAAGATAATTAATGCAAAACATGAACTTAATTTGCTTCATATATGTTAGAACAAGAATTTTCACACTACTGACTGCCGATACCGTCGAAGTATTATCTGCTGTCTTTGTCTCCAAGACTTCATCCCCCACACTTTCTTTCGCTGTCCTCTGATGGACTTTCCGTGGCAAGACACGCTCTTCCTCAATCCTTCCCCTACAGAAAGAGTTGCGTCTACTAATTGACATTGTTGTCAAATCCTACCATAGACGTAATGACTTATTTGTTGAAAACACTAATTTTGGGACCATCAGAAGATTAATCAACCATTCTGAGAATTTTGTGGCCAAATGGTATGATGGGGGATGAGAGCCTCCTTGTGCTAATTGATTCTTAGACATTGGTTGTTAAAGCACTAAAAACTCACGCCTTAGGCGCCTAAAAGGCACTAATTTTTTTTTTAATAGGCACCGTAAAAGGCATTGAAAACTTAAAATTGGAGGGGGAAAATGGAAAACAGAGAGTAGACTATTAATGAATCATAGCAAGTGAGAGACTTTGGTATCTTCACAGGATTGAGCTCAGTTACTATATACACTTAGAGGCACTGATGAAGTACTTTGCATGGAGCACAACTCTGACAACTGTGGACAGAATGAAGACTCACTTGACACCCGACAGAGATGGGCTTACACTGCGCACATCCCAGAAGAACATTGGCATGTAAAGATATTGATGTTGGAAGTTGGGGATCATCGCCTTGCACGAGTGCTTTGATTGCGTCGCGAATCAGTGCTCAGCAACCACTCAAGTGCCCAGATACCACTGTTTTTTATTTTGTTTTATTTGTGCAAAGAAACGAGGAAAAGAAATCTGAAGTCGCAATGCAAGCTTTTCGATTCCAAAAATTTGAGACAAAACAATGGAAATTTGTTACCAATAGAAAATTTATGTGATTAATAGAACTTAAAATGATTTAAACTTGTGTTTTTAACCAAAAATAAAATAAATCTAAATTTTAAGAAAAAAGCATTTAAAATGAAAAATATGTCTAAAAAGGCATTTATGTGACAAAAGACCAAAAAACTGCAAAATAAAAATTCTTCAGAATATTTAGTTTTCCAGAATTCATATACATATATTAATAGCCTTTGAATATTTTCATTAGAATGAAATAGGCATTTTACTAAACATTCAATTTCTACTGATGTTGCCCCGTACATAATTAAAGCATTCATAAAGTAAGAAAACATGTATCCTAATATGGAACATGTGTCATGCTGTGCAGCTGCATTGCACAAAGTAGTAGAAAAATAAGAGAATTCAGTCCATATGTCTACAAAGCTGTCAGACAGGTCAAGAAGATATTTCGCAAGGCTCCAAAAATAATTTCTATATACAAGGAGATGGAAGACCTTCTTTACCCCAAGAGCATATTATTACTCGGTGGGGGAACTGAGTAAATGCAGATATATTCTATGCAAAAAAAAAACTGGAGAAGATTAAAGAGATGTTTAACACGCTTGATAAAGCGAAGGCTGCTTCCATAAAGAAAGCCAAGAAGGGAGAAACAGAAAACTCCCAAGAGGAACTCTATTGGAGCACATTTTGGTTTTCTTCCAAACTCAGATGGAGATTTCAAGGGAAACGTTGGTAGATGCACTTGCAATTATTCAGGAGGCAAGGTATAAATTGAGGGCAGCTCCAGGTGAGATGGGGAAGCAATTAGGTAGAAAGCAAATGAAATTTTTGGAAAAAATCTAGGACTTCATACTTTAGAGATAGTAAGTAAACTCTTGGCAGGGAACACTGGATTACATATTATTACACTCTGGATATGTTATGCACATATCACAGCCTTACTGGGAATTTGAAAATCTTTTTAAAAAATCTGGAAGTTATTGTAACAAAACTTCAAAGACGCAGGCAGTATAAAATTATTCTTTGCGGTGACTTCAATATAAATTACCCTACACAATCCAGTAATGAAAATCTATTTAAAGACCTACTAAAATCATACAATTTACAAACAACTAAAAATACACCAACACAAATATCTAGAAATAGTAGTACTGCTATTGGTCAAAAAATAATAGATGCAAATAACCATTGTTTTTCTGTTGCTACATTTAATACAGCTTTCACTGACCACACTACCCAGATTCTAACACTTCAAACAGAAACAAAAACCGCAGAACAGACAACTTACAAAGAAATCCGTAACTGTTCCCAAGGAAACAACAAAATTTCAAAACTTACTCGGATTCGAAAACTGAAGTATATAAGGCAACTGATACAAATGATAAGTTTAATTCATTCATACATATATATATTTAAGACATTTCAATGCCATTTTTCCTCAAAAACTCAAAAAGATCCAAAATAAGAAAACTAAATCGTGAATTACCATAGGCATCAAAGTGTCATATGAAAGAAAATGCAACATGTATAAAATACTAACTAATAACAAATGGAACTTAAACTTTATTTCTTATTAAAAAACATAATTCGATCCTAAAGAAAGTAATCAAACAAGCAACAATTATGACAAATGATAAGTAACCTCGGATCCTCGGTCTAACAATTCAAGAAAACCTAAAATGGAATGCTCATATCTCAAATCTTAACAAGAAGCTCACCAAATCTTGCTATGCCCTATTAACCCTCAGGGCAAGCTCCAACATTGAGACACTTTGAACAATGTATTTTGCAAATGTGCACTCATACCTAAAATATGGAATAATATTCTGGAAAATGCCCATGAAAGCACTCACACATTTATTA